TCCCTCATTCCATTCATCCCTCATTTCCTTTATCCCTGATTAGTGAAAGTTTGGAGCTGCATTTTCCCTCCTAACCCCCTTTAATTCCTGCTTTAATCCCTGTTTTCCCTCTGCTCAGAAATGAGGGTGGAATTCTGGGCCACAGTGTCTGGAATCCCACTCCTGGAGATGTCAGGAATCATTTGGATGCTTGGAAAAGGGGGAATAAAGGATGGAAAAGAGGCCCTGAAAGCTTTTGCTGCCTGGAAAAAATCAGGATTTTGTTGGAAAATCTTATTTATACCCGGAAAAAACGGAGCAAACTCGACCCTGCCTTTGGTGTCTTTGCAGGTTGTGGAGGAGAGTCAGGAATGGTGCTCCTGGAAAAGGGTAAGGATGCTGAAATCCAGGGAATGCACAGGAATTCACCCAGTGGGATCCTGGATCACCCAATGGGATCTTGGATCACCCAGTGGGATTCTGGATTACCAAATGGGATCCTGGGTCACCAGATGGGATCTTGGTTCACCCAATGGGATTCTGGATCACCCAGTGGGATCCTGGGTCACCAAATGGGATTCTGGATCACCCAATGGGATTCTAGATTACCAAATGGGATTCTGGATCATCCAGTGGGATCTTGGATCACTCAATGGGATCCTGGATCACCCAATGGGATCTTGGATCACTCAGTGGGATTCTGGGTCACCCAGTGGGATCCTGGATCACCAATGGGATCCCGGATCACCCAATGGGATCTTGGATCACTCAGTGGGATTCTGGATCACCAAATGGATCTTGGATCACCCAGTGGGATTCTGGATCACCCAGTGGGATCCTGGATCACCAAATGGGATTCTGGATCACCCAGTGGGATCTTGGATCACCAACTGTGCCCCTGGATCACTCAATGGGATCTTGGATCACTCAATGGGATCCTGGATCACCCAATGGGATCTTGGATCTCTCAGTGGGATTCTGGGTCACCCAGTGGGATCCTGGGTCACCCAATGGGATCCTGGATCACCCAATGGGATCTTGGATCAGTCAGTGGGATTCTGGATCACCAAATGAACCTTGGATCACCCAGTGGGATTGTGGATCACCCAATGGGATTCTAGATCACCATATGGAATCCTGGATCACCCAGTGGGATCTTGGATCACCAAGTGTGCCCCTGGATCACCCAATGGGATCTTGGATGACTCAATGGGATTCTGGATCACCCAATGGGATCCTGAATCACCAAATGGATCTTGGATTACCAAATGGGTTCCTGGATCACCCAATGGGATTATGGATCACCAACTGTGGCCCTGGATCACCCAATGGGATCCTGGATCACCAAATGGGGTCTTGGATCACCAACTGTGCCCCTGGATCACCCAGTGGGATTTTGGATCACTCAATGGGATCCTGGATCACCCAGTGGGTTCTTGGATCACCCAGTGGGATCCTGGATCACTCAATGGGATCCTGGATCACCAACTGTGGCCCTGGATCACCCAGTGGGATCCTGGATCACTCAGTGGGATTCTGGACCTCCAACTGTGGTCCTGGATCACCCAGTGGGATCCTGGATCACCAGTTCTGCCCCTGGATTACCAAATGTGATCCTGGATCACCAACTGTGACCTTGGATCATGCAGCGAGATCCTGGATATCCTGGATCACCCAATGGGATTCTAGATCACCAAATCGGATCTTGGATCACCCACTGAGACCTTGGATCACCCAATGGGATCCTGGATCATCAGCTGTGATCCTGGGTCACCCAATAGGATCCTGGATCACCAAGTGTGAGCCTGGATCACCCAGTGGAACCCCGGATCATCCAATGGGATCTTGGATCACCAGCTGTGATGCTGGATCACCCAATGGGATCCTGGATCACCAAATGGATCTTGGATCACCAGCTGTGACCCTGAGTCACCAAATAGGATCCTGGATCACCAAATGGGTTCCTGGATTACCAAATGGGATCTTGGATCATCCAAATGGGATCTTGGATCACCAGCTGAGGTCCTGGATCACCCAATGGGATCCTGGATCATCCAATGGGATTCTAAATCACCCAATGGGATCCTGGATCAATTCCAGCCTCAAGTCCTGAAGGGTTTTGGAGCTGAGGAGTGGAAATCCAGAGGGATGCAAAATTTTGGACACAGCTCAGATGGTCCCATCCTCCACGGGACAACATCCCAGTTTCCTGCCCAGTTTGGGAACGCTGAGCTCGGATTTCCCCAGTTTGGGGTGGAAGGATTCCCCTCATCCCACAATATCCCACCTTCTCCTCCCCGTGCCAATTCCCAGGGCAAGGAATGGCCTCTCCTGAGGTCGGTGTTGGACATCCAAGGTTTGAATTCCCTTCCTGCCAGGGCAGGATTTGGGATCTGGGGGCCGTTCCCACCCCATTAAATCCCGCCCCATAAATCCCCGTGGCTCCCTTATTACCGCCGGATTTCGATCGCTCCCTGGCTTTCCAAAGGCTCCCGGGTTTTCCAAAGGCTCCTGGGCTTTCCAAAGGCTCCCAAGCTTTCCAAAGCTCCAGCCTGACATTTATCTCCCCGCAAACAGCCGCTCCCATTTTTCTCCGGGGCTGTTTAACCCCATTAAAGGGGTTTTATTGTTCCGCTCCTTGTTAAGAGGGACTCGTTATCCTTCCGCCGATCCCTGTTTTAAACGGGGGGTTAATTAGTTTGTGTGCCCTCATTAAGAGTCATTTCCATTTGCTCCCTCCCGCAGAGGCGACTCCAGAGGAGGCAACAAATCCCCGGGAGCGGGAGCAGCGCCAAGGAATCCGCAGAGAATTCCCAGGTGAGGCAAAGTGATGTTTGGGGAAGGGCAATTCCCGCCTGGGAAGGGGTTTTTTTGGGGATAGAGGGACGTGGGGCTGAGCCAGCCGAGCTTAAAGCTGGGCTTAGGACTCGGCTTAAAGCAGGAAGGATTCCCCTCATCCACAATATCCCACCTTCTCCTCCCCTTGGCCATTTTCCCTGGGCAGGAGAAGGGGATTCATCCCAAAAATGTACAACCAGAAAAAAAACAGGATTTAAAATTCAAGGATTGGTTCAAAAATTCCACTCCCGGGTCCTCGAGGGTTTTGGAGCTGAGATGTGGAAATCCAGAGGGATCCAAAGTTTTGGACGCAGCCCAGAGGGT